CACGAATGTGTATTACATATATATGTGTGTGTGTGTGTGTGTGTGTGTGTGTGTGTGTGTGTGTGTGTGTGTGTGGTGTGTGTGTGTGTGTGTGTGTGTGTGTGTGTGTGTGTGTACACAGTGATCCCTCGCTATTTCGCGATTCGTTTATCGCGGCCATTTTTAAATGCAAAAATGCCGCAAAAAGTCCACAAAAGGTCCGCGAGAGGCAGTGAAAGTCAGCAAAACAACAGCAAGTCACATAGAGCAACATATATACAGTACTACATACATGTGTTTACTGTATTTCGTTATTCATACACGAACCCAACCTCACTTATACATGTTTAAATATATTAGTATATAGCATTAAGTAATGTTAATTACTACAAACATGCATGTATGCCATTAAATTTATTTTAATGGCATACATTATAAATATTATTTATGCTCATACACATGTCCATATACCTATACGGGGCGGTTCGCTACTTCGCGGATTTTCGTCTATCGCGGGTGGTTTCGGTCCCCATTAACCCCGATAAACGAGGGATTACTGTATACACACACACACACACACACACACACACACACGCGCACACACACAGTATGTTTAAGCTGCAAACGAGGACCATAATGAGTGCAAAAACTTCAACCCCAAACTACAAACTTCGACCCTTGTGTGTTTGGACTGCAAGAACTTGAGACCCGCCTCGTTGGTTGGTCCTACTTTCAAGGTGTCCAGGAACTTTGTCGGCGTGTTCCACAGAGCAGAGACTTTTTATTCCAGCAGCCAGAAAACCCAAAAGTTTGCTGTATTTTAAGTGAAAATGCAGCTTCCTCGATCTGTACTTCCTGTGCATGACCGAATTCATGCATTATTCCAAACCAAACTGTCCATCTGGGGAGAGTTGGTCAAATCCGATGCTTTTCCGTCCAGCTCCCGACGTTCGCATCCGAGCCGTGTTACTTGTTCTCCATGACAGTGTTGTCTTTCACCTGTGTGTTGTCTTGCTCTCCACTCTTCATTTCCATTGCTCACCTCCATCCAAATCACTTCATCCGCGAACAGATCAGCGTGAAGGTTGGTTGACTTTGACTTCTAAAAACCCCACCCCACCGCCCGCCTCTTTAATTTGCCACCGATTTTAGGTCACCTTGATGAGGAACCCCAGAAATTCATTTCCCAGGATTGGGAATCTCCTCCCTTTTAATTTCCTTGCTTTTGTATCACCCTCCTCTCCTCGCATGCTGTCTGTCCACTGTCATTCCCCTTCCAAAACAGGTTCTGTCAACTTTGACAAACACACACAATCTTGTGCAGTTTGCTCAAGGCATTGTTACTGTCGATCTGTGTTGCCTTGTTCCTTCCTGTCTGTTCGCTCATCATTTGCGATTGATTGCGTCTGTGTTCCGCCAACTGGTTGGTTTGGTGTTCTCGTAATGGAACCCAACTCCCGATGCTGTTGTCAGGGAGATAAAACAACAGCATAGGCACCGCCTCCCATTGGCATACTCCCCCCCCCCAACCCCCACGAAAACATTCAGAAACATCCGAGAGATGACGAGTGATTCAATAATGAGGAACCAACCGGTTCAGCGTTTAAAAATGAACTGGCACCAAGATGACGACTGATCGGCCGTCACCATGCGAGGACTCATCGGTGAGCTTTGCCGACGCTGCAGGGTTTGCCCGTCCCGATTGATCGGATTGACGGAACACATTTTGCAATCCTCGGGCGCTTTAAAAGGGTCGTTAAATTTCTAGATACGCCGGGCTGAGTGCAGACGGGGGCTTTATTTGGTGGTTTTGATAGAGTCCCGTCGCCCGTCCGGGCGTGCGGCTCTCGTCGGCGTTAGAGACTCGGCCAGGGAATCGATAACAATTACCTGCCCTGCAGTCGTTTAGTTCCGCAGCACCTCTCCAAACTTAAGCGCGCACCATGAATTATTCACGGCATTAAGTGTTCAAAATACGCAGGGTCCATTGACTGTCTCCTCTTAGCGCTGTTAAGTCTGCGCTATCATGACAGAATAACAGACACTTTGAGCGTAATGGTCTCGCATTAGGCCCTCTTCTCCCGGGGCCTTATTTGTGAGTTGTGCGTGGTGTGCAAAACTCACTTCAGGTTCAGTGAATGGGAGTGACACCAGTGGTCACAGGGCTACAAGTAGCCAAGAACCAGCTCGTCATATATTAGTCATACTGCGGATCAGTTGACATGCGAAAATCGGACCGAGGCGCTCCTTCATCCTCCTCCTCCTCCTCCTCCTCTTCCTCTTCCTCTTCCCTCCCGGCGTACTTGCGAATCCTTCCCCCTATCTTTCTGAAGCTCCCATGCATGCCTTGCTTGAGAATGTCATCCTTGTCCTGTTCCCAGACGAGCACCATTTAGTTCTCTATCTTTCCAGTCCCTTGCATGTCCAAATCGGCTTCATACCGAGATTTTCCTTTCAAACCTTTACCGAGCCCTGTGTTTTTGTTTCTGAATTCGTTGTATTTGAAAACGGACTCTGTTATGGGCATTATGATGAGATGCCGCTTGAATGAATTTATAAATAATCATTTTTAAAAAAAACAGGTCTTTAATGCTCTGCGCACACAAGTACAACCCGCTCCCCAACTAACCCCAGTTAGGGTTGTTGCTAGGGGCCAAGGTTTGGCCTTACCATATGGGTCAGGGTTAGGGTTCGTTTTGGTGTTACAGGGTAAAATTAAAGGTGAGGGTTTACTGGGCGAAGGGATGTGTCATAATCCAATGTGGAAGGGTTAAATATTGGTTGCGGTGAGGTGTTGGTGTGAAAACGGTCAGGGTTGGCATGAGCCATATTGTTATGGGCTTGTGGGAAAGGGTTGGGCATGGATTAGGGAGGCGGTTGTGGGTTACGATTGCTTACAAATTAAGTTTTGAATTCAAGTACACTGGGAATGCGAAAGAGTGCCATTGATTGAAAATCTCAACAAATTTGATGACCCATGTTGCGAGAAGGGAAAAAAAAAACGAAAATGCCAACAGTAGTCTTCGGAGCAAAGCTATAAGCTATATTTTAGGGGACACCATTTTGCTTTTAATCAACATTTTTCATGAAAATATAGCAGATAGTCCAAACAGCCTGCCTAGAATCTCAAAAAAGTGCTTTTTTTTTATTGTTCAATTCCACACGAGAATGAAAGCAATACCAAGCGTGCTTTGTATTGACGTTCCAGTTCCAGAAATTCGATCCGGCGGGGAGGGGGCGGGGTGAAAGGTTGCGAAAAGGGAAGGTGGAGGAGGACTCGAATTTGAAAATTGTATTTTGATGGAGACGAGAGTGGTGCAATTATTGTCAAGGGCTTTTTTTTTTTTTTTTTTGCAGAGGAAAACAGATGCTGCCATAGTGCGGGGGAGTGCAGCAGAATCAAATCTGCAGGGATAGCTTTATGCCGTAGCGTTTGGAATACATTGCAGCTAGCGTTGTTGGAATAGCTATAATGGCATCCCGCTGGGGAGCTAAATGTTTGACTTTGCTTCCTTTTTCTCCGTAATCAAAAGAGGTCACAGCTCCTCCTCTCAAGCGTTCTCTTCATTCCGGGCTTCAAGATTCATTGATCCAAAAGTTTGGTTTTCGCTACTCTGTCTGATGTTTACCAAAAAGTTACCAGGAGTGTTTCGAAAAGGCAGGCATCTCTTGTCCGTTTGGATTCAAATGGTGGAAGCGAGTCCTATGTAAATGCTGTCTGTCTCTTTATTCCGGGCTTGGCCTCTCAGAATGCCTCATTGGAGCCTCCGCGTCAGTGTTTGCCTTGTCCCTGGGCGACGTCAGCGGGCCTTCTCGTCTCCATGGGAACCCCTTTTTAATGTCAGCCCATCTGCATTTCACCACTGCACAAAGAGCGAGCAAGCCGAGAGAGAGAAGGCGAGAGGGAGGAGAAATTAAACAATGCCCTCACTGCACGGTCCCTCAGTGATGCAACGCTCAGCACCGATTGTTAAGAGTCCATTGCAAATTTTGGATTTCATTCCCTTTTGTGGGGCTAGCCCCGAAACCCAACAAAATTGCTTGGGTTGTGGCCCCAGAGCCGCTTTGAAAATTCATCCCTCCAAGCCTGTTTGGGTTAGATTTATCCAACGATATCCCCTTGGCAGCCAGCTGATGCTAACTTACAAAATATTTTCGTTTTTTAGCATTGCTTGTCGCCTGAGCATGGCAGCATAGTTTGATTATTAATTAAGTGACGGTTTCCGAGGAGCCCTCATAACTTGGCTCGATAGCCATTTTTTTTTTATTTTTTGCCCCCAAAACCACTTTGACAGCGCATTATGATATTTGGTAGGCAATTTGGGGCTGAACAATTCTGAAAAATAATCCAATTGCGATTGTTTTTTTTTTTTTTCCACCCGCGGGGAGATCCTTTTTAATCTTGCGATGTGCAAAAGCTTAAGCAAGTTAGACACTTGTGAGACGTGACTGAAAGCTCGCGCACCATCTGCCTGCTCTGAAGGCCTCCGTGCCCCCCCCTCCCACTCCGCTTCTCAATAACGCAGTGTCCCGTCAAATGGCAGACTACGATTATAAAATGGCGTTTCATCAAATTGTGATCATATTGCAAATGCAATTAATTGTTCAGCCCGAAGGCAATTCAATTCTATCATGGCTCAACCCACAAATGAACCCGTGCCCATTTTGCTTCAAATCAGCCATTTTGTAATAATAATTTTTGGGCCGTTTCTTGGGGGTTCTTTAAAGATAAGAGTGTCCTAAACATCTAACCCACCAAATTTGAAGCAAGTATCCCACTGCAGACATGTGGGCGTCGCCAAATTTCAAGAACTTTGATGTACTGTGTATGTCCAAGTGTGAACTCCTTTTCTGACCAGCATTTTTTTTCTTTTTATTACTGCAAATTCAAAACAGCACAATCAATTTTTGTCAATCAAATTTCGTGACTCACCAAACAAGACGAAACTCAAGGGCAAAGCATCATCGTACTTATCAAATCCGAACTACTGTCATCCTTTTGTCCCGTCCCTTCTCCTTAGTACGCAGAGTTCCGCCAAGGTTCTCCATCCCGCCCACCAACCAGGAGGTGATGCCGGGCGGCAGCGTCAACTTGACGTGCGTGGCCGTGGGCTCGCCCATGCCCTACGTCAAGTGGATGATGGACTTGAAGGAGCTGACCCGCGAAGAGGAGATGCCCATGGGCCGAAACGTGCTGGAGGTCACCAATATCCGCGAGTCGGGCAACTACACCTGCGTGGCCATGTCCTCGCTGGGCATCATCGAAGCCACGGCGCAGGTCACCGTCAAAGGTGCGTATACTCGCTATACAAGTTTTTTCCCAGGTAGTGGGGCTGTTTTATTTATTCATTATTAGTATTATTTTTTATTTATTTATATTTTTTTTTAGTAAAACATACAACAATCAACACAACCATATTCTTGTTGCCCTTAGTCTCCTGATGGATGCAATTTCTCTCCTACCCAACAGACCCATATCTTTCCTTCATTGTTGTTAACACCGAATGCTCAAAGGTCGGACAAATCTGTCCGTGGTCATCGTAACGTTTGAGGCGAGGATTTGAGCTCACCAAGTTGCTGCATTTTTATAGTCCACAGTCTCGACTTAAGTGCATCACGCTGTTTTTTCGCTGCAGTTTTTCACCTAACGCGGCTATTCTTCTTGCTGCGTGCTCATTGGTCAGGCACATTTGCCATCTTTGTCATCGATAACATTTGAGCTTATTCTGTTGTTACGGTGGGTCCACAGTGTCCACTTTGCTGTAGCGCTCCATTCCTTGCTGCTGATGGCATACTCTTGGATACAATTCATCCCTTGACCAACGGACACTCGTTACTCTCGATTGTTGGGTCATGGTTTGCAGAATTTTTAATGTTTTGAAGCGGAAAACCAACTGCCTTAGGCCGTGCAGTAGAAAAGCCGCATTCGGAGTCAAGAAACCCATGCAGAAATTCTCCAGTTTATCTATTTTTTAAAAATGACACCAATTTTTAATCCACTAAAAATGTGATTTGTTTTCTTTTGGTTGTTGTGGTTTTATGCTTTGAGTTCAAGTAGTTCCGGCGTCATGTCAAGGACGAGTTAACAGTATGCAACAGGCCTTCACAGATGGATTAAAAACATCACAACCTTCAGCTCCTAAATGACCCATTCCAACAAAATGTCTGGCATGCTTTTGTCGAAATACCGCAAGGATCGAGAATTTGACCCACATAACTAACGACATCCCACACATGGGAGACGTGTCTGTTTATATTTCATTGTGGCTCTACATCTTCATTTCGAACAGTGTAGTCCGGCAGCCCTGGATGTCACTCGCACATTAAGGCGCCGCTATATTTGTATGCAAACAGTTTTTCACAATATGACCCTTCATTAAAGCCGGTACTAATCGTTTTTTTTTTTAGCCCTGCCAAAGCCCCCCGTTTCTCTCGTGGTGACCGAAAGAACTGCCACCAGCGTGACCTTGACGTGGGACTCTGGCAACCCAGAACCGGTATCCTACTACATGATCCAGTACCGGGCCAAGGCGTCGGATAACGCCTTTCAGGAGGTGGAGGGCGTCGCCACGACCCGCTACAGCATTGGCGGCCTGAGCCCCTACTCGGAGTACGAATTCCGGGTCATGGCAGTCAACAACATCGGTCGCGGGGCGCCCAGCGAGCCGGTGGCGACGCGCACGGGCGAGCAGGCCCCGTCGTCGCCCCCGCTCCGTGTCCAAGCGCGCATGCTGAGCGCCACCACCATGCTGGTCCAGTGGGACCCGCCCGAGGAGCCCAACGGGCACATCCGGGGCTTCCGCATCTACTACAGCTCAGACCACGCGGCGCCGCTCAGCGCCTGGCACAAGCACAACACGGACGACAGCAGCCTGACCACCATCTCTGGGCTGACGCCGGACATCACCTACAGCCTCAGGGTGCTGGGCTTCACCTCCGTGGGGGACGGCCCGCCCTCCGAGGTGCTTCAGGTCAAAACGCAGCAAGGAGGTGAGCGTCCAAACCCCCCCGACCCACCGCCGGTCCGTCTTTGGCTACGTTCGCTTCTTCATCTCTCGTTTCTCTCAGTCCCATCCCAGCCGTCGGGCTTCGTGGCCGAAACGGAGCTGGACACCCGCGTCTTGCTCTCCTGGCTGTGGCCCCTCCAGGACCCCATCATCAAGTACGAGCTGCAGTACTGGGAGGCCGGCACGGACAACAAGGTTAGAAACACGGATGAATACCAATTTGCCTGTCGACTATTGTACCTTTTCCGCTTGAGGATTTACACTGAGCTGGTGCGTATTGGGGATTTGCCCATCTGTAAACTCTAAAATGGATGCGACAGTCCTGGGTTATCCCCCCCCCACCCTTTTTTTTTTTAAATAACATTTTCAAACAGTTTCCATTATTTCTGTGTTCACGTTGTCCTATGAGGAAATGTGAGATTGAATTTTCACAACTCACAGATCCACGTGACCTTCGATCCAGCCGGCTCTTACGCCGTGGACGGCCTGAAGCCCGACACGCTCTACCGCTTCTCCCTGGCCGCCCGCTCCGAAATGGGCTTAGGCGTCTACACCCAGGCCATCGAAGCTCGCACGGCCCAGTCCAGTAAGTCACTCATCTTGATTTTGTTTTATCTCCCCCCGCTCCCGCCGCTAACCAAATAAAAGTCGCCCCGCCAGCCGGCCGAGGTCATCGCTTTTAACACGCAAAGTTGAGTTACCAAAGTGGCAGACAGCGCGGGTTACCCAAATGTCAAAGTCAATTTCAGCACAGCATCAAATGTTGTCTGCGCATTCGCCATCCTTGTCACAAACACTAACGCTGTCCGCTCAGCGGAGGGCCGGCCGGGCTCTGTTGTTCAACGTCAAAGGTAGGTTTGATGTGTCCCTGCCACGTATCGTCAGAATCCACCTAGTAAGACTCCTGCCATGCATGTGCTGCATGAATCCCTTGATGTTTTTCGATGCGATTGGCTGACTCGTCGTCAATGCGTGCGGTTAAACGAGAGAGAAAGAAAAACGTGATCTTTAATCTGATCTTGGTTTCACGTCTCGTGTCTTTTTGCACGCTTTTTGCCCCCGAGGCTCGTCTCTCGCCCTTGTTTCCTGATTTGTCTTTTATCAAGACAATAATATGGCGCCAAAAAAGCCATGAAAATTTGGTGGCACTTTTGGAAGCGGGCAACGTAGCAACATCTGGGGAGCGAACATAAAAATGAAGCGCAACATGGATAACGGTGCACACTTATCAGGTCGGTAGTAAAGCAAATTTGCTGAAAACAAGTGTGAAACATTGCTGATTGCGTCCAACGAGGGTGTAAACTAGATTAGGACAAACATCCCAAGTCCAAATTGAAACGTCAACATGTAAGATTGCGTCGATATACTTGATGGGAAATCAATGAAAAATGACATTTATTCATGGGACGTATTTTCCTCGCCGGGGCCCAATGTTCTTTCTGTCTTGGCGTTGCCATTTTAGGCTCATTTAAGGAACAAAAGACCATTCAAAAATTGCCTCTCAAATAATTTCCTTGGGCCTGTTCAGACACTTTTCATTCTACGCAGCCAAAATTGCTTGCAAAAAAAAAAAAAAAAAGGTGTACAACATGTCCCTCGGGGTTAATTAGTTATCAGCTTCCCATTTGGAGCTCACGGCTCATCTCGCTGCATCTTAAGAAGGACACTTCGTAGGCATGCTCGCTCAATACGCCATCTTATTTCCCCTTTGTGGTGTGGAATAGGTGTTGTGATGAAAAATGGCCGCATGCCGTATGTGTTACGATGCGTACCTCTGGACTCGAGACCTTTGTCGCCGCCTCCCGCTGCGGCTTCGTTGACGGCCGACGAGTAGCAGCTTCGTACAGACGCCGTCGCGACTTTCCACGTGTCGGTGAAATCCACAGCACGGCTCTGCCGCGGCTTTGGCGACGACGTGCAAACATTACTTGACACTTGTTCACACTCTCACGCAGTTGTTTGCTCGCTTCGTCAAGGGAGCAACGGGAGGGAGATCGCCGTTCAGGGCAAATTACATCTTTATGAAAACACTGACCTGTAAAATTCTCGGGGATATTTTATATTCTGCCCCCGCTGTTGTCATTGTTTTCATGGTCCCGTGCGTAACATGAAGTGCGACAACGCACATGCACACACACACACAGCAGTCCGCGTAATAGAGCAATATTCTCAGTCCACAGTCCGGAGGTTGCATCTTAGTGTCAGGGGAAGCTTTTTGTATTCGTATTGCTGACGTTGCTTGGTGAACAATCCACATGTGATGGACAAAAAGTATTGGGAGACAGCCCACGAATCAAATTCTTGACATCTCGGATCAAGGTTTTCTTCTGCTCCTCGTGCTCCAGACAAGGTCAGATAAACTGATGGTTGGTGCCAAACATGAACTGAAACTGTAGATTGTCCTGGGTTAAAAGGGAAAAGATATCCACTGACTGAGGCTGTGCGCTAAATATGGTTCAAATTGAGTATGTTTGCCAGATAATGATCTGAGTCTCACGAGGCAGAAAAACTCCACCCCATGTTGCCGATCGATAGATAGATAGATAAATAAATAGCTGTGAAATCGCTCCAAAGAGCTCAAAAGTTGTCCTTGCAACTTGTCCCAATACTTTTGTCAATTTCCAACTCAAAAGAAAACAAAAAGCTTCCATTTTTTTTTTTGTTTTTTGTTTTGCCTTCAGTTTGCTTGTCCTTCAGTTTTCATTTTACGTTTGCTCGATAACGCCCCCCCCCCATCCCCACC